CAATGACACGCTATGGCCATCTGACGCATGCGCAGGTGACGACCCCCCCCGCCTTTAAACAATATTTGTACATGTAATAAAGCACAACTACGTACTTCTTCTATCTTCATCACATAAACACTTCGAAGATAGATGACAAAAACGAATTCAGAAAAATTTTGACAAACAAATTAAGTTTACGACAACGGTGACCTGAATGTAATGATTTGTGGCGCTTTGTGACGATATAGATACAACATTCTTTCATTTACTGACCTTGAACGGTATGATGTCATCGTGATCGCATATCTTTGGAATGTCGAACACCGATGGGTCCTTGATTCCCAATGTCACATTCATAAACCCAATGAACGAAATAGTTTCCGCTGTAAGAAAATCGACACAAGACGGTCACGAACTGTACATCACGCGAGACTTGCATAACGAGTGTGACGAAGCAATGACATATATTCGCTCACATTGCTATCAAATAGTGGATCTTTGGTTACGTTGAAAATAACAATATACAATTAAATGGACGCAGATTTGGTTTTAGTCTTATAATAAATTAGTTTTAGTAAAGTGATGACAGCAAACAGGTCCATGATACGAAACACATCTTTTTCATCTTCACTACTAGCAGTAGGGTTAATTCTGAGAAAATGTGTTTGGAAAGTGGTATGCAATTCCAACATTCATTGAATGTTTAATATAATCCTCAAAACTCGCTAAAAAGTTTTGTTCAAGCTATAAAACATTAGTTCTGACGGAAAAACAAACAATACGTTACCTGCAGGACTATATATTTCTAGCAACACTGAGTCAATATCAATTTCATTTTGGTTGGAAGTACATCCAATCTTTTGCCCAGAGAATTATTCCCGGGGAATGAACCTCATAATGTATTTATAAAATGAAATGAACTTGTGGAGAACGCACAGTATTTATGAATATACTAGGATTTTATAGAGGTTTACCTTGAGGTTGATCAGCAAAAATGGTCAGGCCGAAAGGCAGGCATTCATTGGCTGTGACGGCTACACCAACACTGACGTTGGCCCCCATTTGTTGAGCGTTATATGTATACGAGTCAGCCGTCAATGCGTCCAATCCGTACACGTTTGTACCGATGTATTCAGCGGCGTCTGAAAATGAGATCAATTATCTATAATTGACAACGGTCCATGGAAAAAAACTTTTGCTCAAAATTCAAAACAATCGAAGTCTTAAAAAATGGTTTACTTCCCCCAAAATGTGTAGTGCGAGTTTCATTCGAGAATTTTGAAACAGTGAGCAATATTTGTTCACAAACGATAACAATGTTGATTGGAGCGGTATTTCGTGCATATAAGCAATGTTAGAATTGGCTACCCTTCTTGTGGACAGGAATAAAGCGCCACCACAGGTCAAATCAGTATTATATTTAATTGCGTTGACGAAAATAATTTTTGAGATTAAATCGAGATGTTTATACCTGGTATGCACGTGTCATCAATGCTACCCGGCAGATCCGACTTCGTACATTTTCCCGCCATTATTACATATTGCGTGTTCTGTAAATATAGAAATATAAAAATAAAATAATATCAAACTACGGTGGATTTGAATTTTACCAGTGGAAAACCAAATGAAACCAATACATCTACAGCGAAAATTAATCCAACTGATGATATCAAACGTTCACTGATTAGCAGCAAGGCTCACGTGGCAAGAATAACTTTAATTTTGAGAACTGAAACATTGATTTTTCGAATGTAGTGCTTAGACATGCTTGTCACGTACTTTGTTTTGAACTCCTATCAATAACGAGACACACGTGACATGAAATGTACACATTAATAGTCCCGTGATGCTAAGAGGCGTCACGTGTTTCTTCGTAACGCCCTTTATTTGACATTCTCAAGCGTAAATTGAGAGAGGGCCCATCGCAATTCATTACGACGGTTGTACACGTAAATTTAGTGCGTAGCATTATTAATAATATCTAACAGTTTACAACTTTTTAAAAATGAATACGATGTCATTATGTGCTAAGGTGATATTCATAAATTAATTGCATGAATTAAGGCAGCATAGTTGCAATAAGTTCAATTAAGTACAACGAACTGTTGACCCTTCATGTAGAATACCATTTCCGCTGTTGCAAAACAATGAAATTTACAATGCATGAGCTTGTATAAGACACTTACGCTGTTAAAGTCTTGTATGACCTTTACTTTGAACTGTTGCTCCCCGGCGGAAATGTATTCTTCCAAAGCTACCATTTCTTTGCTGTAGTCATAATGTAACGGCCCGTAAACGGTGAATATTCCAGACTTGCCTTGCCGGGTGCAAGTGCCTCCGAACTGTCCCATGGTGCTTTCGAATTGCTTTGGTGGGCAGCATTTGTACGCCGTGGTGAGGGCGACAAATGAGGCTAGCAGCACGATCAGTTTCATTTTGTGTTGTACTGAATGTTCCTCGCCGATCAGTAGTATACAAACCGGCCCTCAGGCGTGACATTGACGTCACTAATCACGTGACTAGTGGCCTAGATCTAAACATGACTGGTAGTCGGACACAAGACAGAATGGAAATTTAGCTAAATTGTGCATATTCAAATATTTGCTCCGTGCCTGTAAATACCGTAGTCTTTGTAACAAAATACTGACATTTTTAGGCAAACGTTCAGTTTTGTCTTTTCGGGTACACGATCAGCAATCAGTCACGAGTTGCTCGTACAAACAACGCTGACTTAAAATGAAAATTTGAATATAAGCTACTAACAAACAAATTGTTTCATAACAATATATTACCCACTTCCAAATATAATGTATTCCGATTCCAAATGAACACTTCGGCCGGATTTGGAAATTTTTGGGAAAATGTTAAATAACATCTGTTTAAAATATGCCGTAAATTATTTGCAATCTGTTTTTAGTGTACTAAGCAAAACTCTATAAATCTAGGAAAAAAGACACCAATCGAAAAAATGAAAATCAAACATCGCTAGCTTCGCCTCGGTACGACAGTCACTAAATAGTGTCAAGATTTGAATATGCTGGACTTCAATTCACAGAGAAAACGAATGATCCTGTAATGTTTAGCGACAGAAAAACTTTGTTCAATCATGGAACTATAAACCCCTAGTTCCATGGTTCAATGCACAGCACATGTATTGTTTATCCTGTGATAATTTACCTATTCGTATACAAACTAAATCAGTCTTCTGCACAATCGTCACGAGACCTAGTTTGCATATGAAAATTTGTGCTTACAACTGGTTTTTAATCCGTGTC